TAGAACGTATCCGATGCCATGCGTGTTGGTATTACTGCGGATGGTCGGGGAATTCCCGCTGTAAGTTTCGGTCAACAGCGCTTTGAGTATACTTACCTATGCGTCCCGACAATTTGACGCTCTCGGGGAATCCCCGATTCAAGTTTGTATATAAGAAAGACTACACTACTCTATTATTACGCAAGCTCTCAAGCAGTTAGCTGTTTATTGTTGTAAGAATTGGGTGTTTGTTGCAAGTGAGAATATATTTAATAAGAAATGGGCTTGCTCTTGACCACAATCATGTCTAAGGTATGATGTGGCCTACGATGGAGCGAGCTTACCCAGAAGATGCCTATTCACGTTACTTTTGAAACACCCAGGGTTATAATTAGGTATTTTTATTTTAAAGCGAATTATTAGAAAATCAAGTACCTAAGTATAATTATAAAGTTTGTATGTACCTACTTAACGTAGTGATTTATTATTGTACTCTTGCAAGTAAAAGTGTATAAATAAGTATTATAAAATAAAAAAATATTATTATTGTTGGTTCATTTTTTTTATATTGGGGGGGAGGGGCCCATCCGATGAATTTGCCACGGGCCTCGAACGGTATAGTTACGCCACTGAACTAATACGTCAATCATTCTGTTTGATTGAAACAGGAAAAACCTGATTATTTATGGCCTCTAAGACGGAATAGAGTTCGCCCGGTCAGCTATACATACATATATTACTCTTGACCAAACTAACGCGGACAAAGTCGCGGGCAAAAACTAGTGAACTTATATATAAATAATTACAATTTCATTAAAATGTTAGAAAATACATAATACGAATTAATTGTCATTTAACGTTTATTTTGGCCATCGCAAAGTATGTAGTTTATCGAGTAATCATGCTCCAAAATTGTTTTATTGTGAGAAAGAGCTAATATTCTTACATAATTAGATCGAAATTAACCAAAATAGGTGGGAAGCACACCGGGGAAACTATCTTTCAAATGGAAGAAACCTCATAGAAATCGATTGATCCTTTTGAGAACTTAGATGCAACACACACAAACACACACAGACACATACATAAGCACATGAGTACTTAAAAATAAGACAGTATTCATTCAGTGGTGTCACCTATCGAGCATGTTACGATATAAATATTACTTATACGTTAAAATATTACTTATACGTCATTCTGTTATATGTCCTATATGATCTTAAAGTTTTATCAAAATTATTGCAGTATATTTCATGTGAAACAGCCACAAACAACTTTACATTCGTATATTTGAGTTTTGCGACCTATTGACGAGAAATTAAAGGGATTTTTTTCTTACATATTATCTTTCAAGGCTTGATAATACTTGAATTTATTTCAGAAATTAGATCTGAATCTTCTTTCGTATAATCCTCAGTAGGTACATATTGCAGTAACGGGCTTTACTTCTGTAAGGATCTGTGCCCATAAGAATAATTATGTTTGTGATTTCTAAGACTTTCTCTATTCATTTAAAAATTTATTCATTATTGCATATTTAAGAATGAAAGAAGTATTCAACATGTAGGTTAGTACTATAGTAATAAAAAAAATTCACCTGCATTTCAATTTCATTAAAGAGACGAAATGAGAAGAAACCTCTTAGCATCCAATGTATTCACGGTGCGTGTGTCGGGTCCATCGTTATAGGGAGAGGAGCTTCAACAGTGTCTGGGACTTGTGACTCAGGTGTAGGTTTAAGGAACCCCTATCTAACGCTTTAAACGCTCACGTCCACCGTCCAAGCTCCTCTCTCTACCTAACCAAATTTGAAAAGAACCTACTAGGGCCATGAATCTACCTTAATTTGCACACGAAGTGAGTCATATAAGACGCATTTTTTATTATCCTGTTACATATTACGTAAAGTTATTGTTGCAAATATTTTACTAGATAATATGAATTAAACATAATTCTCGTAAGGCGCTACGTCATTATGGTTATCAAATGTCTAATTGGCGATTTATGTAATACTGTTATTAATAATCTCATCATCTAGCCGACTAGTTAGTTTCTAGTCTAGATATGCAATATGCAATTCAATTTTAAATTGCGTATATAGTTGCGAAGCTTCGGTAACATTATACCTTTTTGTTTATAAGTGATTGTACATATATGAACATTTCGTTGAAATGACATTGCCTTGTATAATTATTGAAGCAAAAACCCACGACGAAATAATTTTGTTTTGTTTATTTTTTTATTATAATTAAAATCTGTGTAACATTTAATTGTTATTGTGAATATCAGGAAGACAATTAACATTTTACATTGATACAAAGTAGAAAGATAAATTGTTTTTTATTGATAAAAGATAGACATTTGAATAAATCCTTTTGGGACCATTTAATTCAAAATTACATAAATATAGTATTTTTTATGATATAATTATTTTTATATTTAGGTTTAATTATTTTTCGTTATATTATAATTCAATTTTTAATCAAATGTATAACTTTATAATATTTAAACCGAAATTGTATATTTATATAAATATTAATACATTTTTACCTAATTATATATTTTTTATAAATTTTTGTTATTTTTATTGCGCCGTATTGCAGCACTAGACCGTTATAATTTATAACAAATTTCTCATAATTGCCTATAATTGTAAATGCAATTAGCTTAATTATTTTTTATTGTGATTTATGTTAAATTATAAATTCAATTAAATTTATTTATTGTCATTCTCAATATGTGTAGCCAAATAACGTTATTTCCGATTTTTAGCAAATACTTATATGTATATAATGTATGTATATAAATATTTAAGTGTATTATAAGTAAGTCAGTTTTCTTTACATGGTTCCTGTTATTTTTAGCCGTTTGATTTATCGCGGCGAGTTAGCCATTAGGCTCTAAGAATAGCCTAGCCGCTTACCATCACAGTTTCTTGACTCCGGCTACTTTTAGATGTTTGTATTGCGTGTGTGAGATGCCTTTTTTGAATTACCTGCACTTTTTTTATTTTGTTACTATCTTCATGTTATTATATGAGCATTCAAAGGACGATAAAAACTAATAATTTCTTGTCTTTTATGTAATAAAACATGAAATAACAATATGATAAAAGTTTTTTGAGATCTTGACCTAATTTGGAATTATTTTAAAATGTCATTCTTTTATTCTAATGAGTTTAATAATAATACATTGTTTTACATTGTATAAATAAATTTAAACTAATTTACTATTTTTTACTCTGACTGTCTGTCTATTCGTTCCGTCAAATTTCTGAAGTGGCTGGACAGACTGTACGAGGCTTTTTCTTTCAGATTGCTAATGTAAAAAGAAGTACCAAACTTATTTTGTTAGAAGTTATATTTAGTTTCATTAGTATAGGTGACAAAAAAACCCTTTTGACGAAATTCTAATATATATATGTATATAAATTATGATTATTCATTTGCTTTGTTTTAATTAAAATTATTCATATTCCTTCCTTCCATTTTTTAAATATTCGTCCGAAATGATTGTCCTTCATAGTTTTATGATAAAAGATAAATTATAAGGTTTTACCAACATTAAAGTACAAGTATATCTTGTTAAAAATATTAAGTATATATCAAATTAATTTATATATGTATATATATTTTTATGTTCATTTCGAAACTCCATTTCATCTTCTAAAATAGATGCAGGAAATATGTCAACGGCCTAAATAATAAAATTCTTTGAGTGTATCTTAAAAAAAAAAACGCGACAGAGTGCAATACGTACCTATTGTTAACTTTAAATAAAAATTCCTTTGCTTAAAATTAACAAAGTTTTCATTTATAGTATTGTAGAAAATATTACAGTTATATCAATAAAATATTATAGTCTAATTAATAAATTAGGATAATAAAAATATTACGCTTCTTAATCTTATAGGTTATAGAAAAAATAAATATTCTGCTGCTATATATTCTTCGTTTGATTCAAACTTCTATGAAATATAATTAATTTTATTTAATTTTTTTTATGCTAAACGAACGTAATGCTTCGTTTATTGAGTTCCAGAAAATAGAATTAACATTGGTTTATTTTAACGTTGGTCTTTTCCTTGATTGCATCGTTGGCAATTTGTCCCATGAAAGTGGTTATTAATAATAATTACCAGCTCTTTACCAGAAAACCTCAACAGAGCTTGTCTTGCAACTTCTACTAAATTAGTTCAAATGCAAAATCTTAGAAATCGTTGCAATACATTACAGATACTAAAAATGAATAATAAATTCGAAATTTTATATGAAAATTATTATTAAGTTTTTAAAGAATAGCCTTTCTTTCTGTTCGTATGTCGGGATGTTTTTTTTTTATCTTAACCTAAAGGCCTGAACCTGAGTTACAATGCCATGGGCGTTTAGTACTTAGTGCACAACGAGACTCCGCGGGCGATAGTTGCGTGAGTGAAAATGGTTTGTCGTGTGGCGCCGAAAGAGACGCGTAAGAATAATTATATTAAAAAAATATATATATTTAAAATATTAATATAAAACTATATTAAAAAAAATAGAGAAAAATTCCATATAAATTTTAAGGCACACTTAAGTTAAATAGATTTTAGTCATGATTTTATTTTATTTTTTTTTGAAATAATAGTGCTTCAATTTAATAGTATTTCTTTAAATATGAGTCAAAAGTATGGTGTTTTTAAAATCTGTCCGTTATCGCTCGTGTAACGATAAAAATTATAATCAAACACGTCGCTCACTGTAAGCTGGAACCGAATTAATTTACAAGACAATAAAAAACAATTAAATATGTCAAAACGTATTTTTTCAATAATTTATGAAGTTTGAAATGAAACACATGGTCGAAATTTATTTAAATTTAAACTAAATGAATAAATAAATGAATTATTTATACTATAATTCAATGTCTTAATTATGAGCTATAGAATTCTAAGATTGTTAAGATTCTTCGAATAGTTTTACCAATGTTGTGTCCAGACTTAGTCTGAGATGAAAACTGGTCTACGACGTGTTTTTTTGTTGCAGCCTCCCAGAGGGATGGAGCTCAGGACCAACAAGTAGCGGACTACGAGACCGCTTTGGATGCCGCTGGTTCGTTAAATTATAGTTTTTTTTACAAATTAATAATAATTTTGTATGTAGCAACTACTAATATATTTAAGGAAGAGTAACCTTTAGCTCTATTTAATTATTATTATTAATATATATTCCATCTATTTCTTTACGTATTATTTTTTATTTCTATCACAAAATCTTTATCTGTGAATGTTTAAGAATGTGATGTTATAGCGTTAGTAGTTCTGACGTCAAAGATCAAACGTGATTGTTGAATCTATGAACGTGGTTTTTCAATTGCTGATGATGGCAAAAGGCTTATTCTATTTTTATAGCACTATTTATTAATAACTAGATAACCCTATATTTATGATAATTTGCTAATTAATATAATTAATGCACTCCCTAATTCCTGTACAAATATTTTTCGACATAATAAGGTTGGGTGATTCTGACCTGACGTACGCTTGCGTCACTTAAATTTCTTCCACACTGGAAATATATTGAAGAATAAAAAAAATAAAACGAATTTTAAAAACTGAGTTCCGAGAGCTCAGTATTGATTTGATTGAAGTTATTCATTTTTAATTAACCATCACTCAAATCCTTTTGACATCAACGCGAGTCCCGTTAAATTCCCTTCAATACATCGCTATGGTCTTGCGCTTCAAGACCTGTTTCCACGTCTTTTTGCTGGAAGTTTTCGTGGAAAGTATTTTTGTATACATTTCATTTGGATGCACCAGGTTTTTATTTGCTCAGCGGTGTATTTTGAAGTCGCTGTCTGATGCAGTGGGACTCGTTATGTCATATCGGGCCATCCAGTTACAATTTTTTTGTGTCTGAAGCGAAGTTTCCTTTTTGAGTTCATAAATTTATGATATATATTATCTTGATTATAATAAGATGTTATTATTTAATTTAAATAGACTTACTTGCTCGAAATATATATTTTATTATATATATTTGTTATTGAGTATATATGTATGTTTTCAATACGTAATTTTTTTTTGTGTTTTTAATGTTGTTTATGAAGAAATGTTTAAATTTAAAATGATTGTAGAACATACAATTTTGAGTTTCAATTAGGTGGTATTAACTTTTATTTATTGCCGATGTTCATTTATGTCATTGGGTTTTAATGAGATTATTGATTATACATATATTTCAAGACCGAAATATTCAGAGATTTTTCTATGCTAAATGATAAATTTGGAAACAATTAATTTAGCTCTGAATGATGGTTACTTACAGATTTTTTCTAAAGAATTGTCGTTTTTTAGAAGAAAAATTTACTAATCAGTTTTTAATGAAACTTTCAAATAACATTATTCATTTATATTCGTATTGCTTAATTTTGCATTAATATTTTGAACTCCGATAGTTGGGTGCGATAATTCAATAAAAATGTGTTGGTAAAAAAGAAAGAAAAAAAATATCCGTATTTTTAAAGTTTTAGTTAGATCTATTACAAAAAATAAAAAGATTTTTAGTCCAAGTTTCATTAATGAAAATAAACTGGAAAATGAAATTGTCATGATAAGATATTATTTATATGATTTTAAACATGTCATGTAATATGTAAAATTAACTTGACTTAATAAATTTCCCTTACAAATAAAAACATTTGTATTTCATTAGAATAAAAAGGCACTGAAAAATATATAATGTTATGCAAACTGAAAATAACTGTGCACTTGACGGGAACGAGATGTAAATATTTAAAGTACAAAGAAGAGTTCAAATAAAATCATTTTATAGTATAAATTATACATTATACAATTAAAATATGAATTTACGTGTATAAGTCTGTATAGTTTTTCAATTATTTTCATTGTGCTAGTCAATCAACGGTTTATTACTACTGAATTTTACTTGTTCAACGTAATTAAAGTTGGCGAATTATGTTTCCATATGAGTGAAGTAGCAAAGGACATGTATTTAATACATGACAATTCATGTATCATGAATCCCATGATGTGATAAGGACATGTTTATAATTCATGACAAATCAGTGTGTTTTATTATAATTTAAATGTGTTAAAACATTCTAGCGTGTTTGCTGCTGTGGGCTGTGTTTTAAAAAGTGAATTCCTTATGAATAAAGATCATGCTGCCATTGATACGATATTGTTTGGTACTGAGTGCCTCCGTACTGTAAATATAGTTCTTGTTATTGTTAGCCTCTGTACCACGACGATAAATTGGCTGTAAAACTTATATGAATCACTAATAAGTGTATGAAATGTGGTGGAATACAATGGTTTTTTATTATTTGATAGGTTTATTGTTATTTAAAAACATTCACTATTCCCCGTAGAACCTAAATCTGTAAATATATTTTTGAATAAATGACGCCATTTTGTGGAAATTTGACAAAATAAATTGACAATGTCACATGACGTCACTCGTTGACATTACGAATTTGAATTAGAAATAATTTGTTTGCCATTGTACCTAATATTATATTAAATAAAACTCACAATAAAATCATTAATTAACGCGTATATAATATATTAATTCGTTCAGAATATATTTTTCAATGAACAGGAACAACGGATTGTTACTGGCTGTAATTATTCTATTGTGATTTCATTAACAATAATTGTATATATAACAAATGTTATATCATTTTGATATTGTATTAAACATATTGAAGGATATTTAAACAAGTTACATGTAAGAAACTAGTTTAAATATTAACTTATGAGACCTTAAAACAATTTTAAAACTGACTTTGTTATACCAGTTGCGTGAAATTCAGAAGTTTCTGCTTACAAAGCAAAATTTACAAATAACTAACCTGTTGCGATAACGTAACCGATTGTTAAAATTAATTTTTCTTTACTATATGTTGGAGTTTATCTATAATTGGGTTGGATAATTTTTTTCTTAAAACATTAATTGTATACAGATATTTTTCTATGTCTAGTTTGTTAATAAAATATTTCTTTCCATGTAATCAAAAATAGGTAGTGGTGCATTGGATTGAATTAAATTATCGCCAGCTACTTCTAGAACTATCAAAATTACTTTTTTTTATTTTTTTTTTATGTGAAACGTGGCAAACGAGCAGACGGCCCACTTGATGGAAGGTGGTTACCGTCGCCCATGGACATCCGCAACATTTTGTTGCGGATGCATTGCCAACCTTGTTTTTTGGGGGTAGGGAGGGGTGGGAATAAGGAAATGATAGGAAAGGGTAGGAATAGGGAAAGGGCAACCGGCTCTCTCACTCATCAGACGAAACGCAGCCAGTAAAGGCTACTTCACGCCGATCTTCTGTGAGAGGGTGGTACTTCCCCGGTCGAGCCAGCCCATGTTCGAGCTGTAGTAACTCACCACAGCTAGGCTCTACCACCTATAAATTCTATACTTCGCATATCTATTAACATACTACTTAAATCCCCAGGATATGGCCGTTTCAGTCGTAGTGTACTGGGGGCGTGTGCGTGCGCGTTCTTCACCACCGGCGTCGAGAACTGCGTCATGTCTTATGTACTCCCAGCAGCGAGATGTGAGCTGAATCTTACCACCTATCACACAGGACTGATCAATATGGCATTCATGAGTGGTAAGTACACCATCAGTTGCATATAGGTTTGTGATAGATTTGATAGGGGAATATCATAAAGCGGGTTAATCCTTTCTTTTCTACTATGCACAAAAAGTGTGGTCCTTTTATACGAAGTCTACGGGGCAGCATCAACATCTTAAATATGATATGTAGGCTTGATTCTGCTTCTATCTAGCAATTTCCCAGCTTTTAGCCAGGGTCTGCTTTACATGTTGTGAATAGTTTTTAATTGTTTTTACGACCAGCCGCCTGCCTGACATAAATCCTCTTTGAGAATGCATTAATCAGTGATGTCTAAATACTCTTAGAAAGTAGATATGACTCGGAAGAATCACATTGATACTTGCCAGGATCGAACCCGCGCCCTCATGACTTTTAACCACTAGGCCGCCACTGACGAGTAGCAGGCTTGCTTATGTTTATATAAATCATTGCTGCGCCATCTCTAGTGGGGTGCAGTAGCAATAACAATACTAACATAGTTTTATAAGTTTTCAATTATTACTAATAAATTTTTGAGTCTATGTTACTTGTTTTTTGATTTAATAAATAAAAAATATACGGAGTTTTTAAGCCACATTGATAATAAAGATGAAGAAAAGGTGCTTGTAGAGTTCTCTATATAATATGGAGGAAAATTTAAGGGATCATTGATTGATTTTTGCTATATCTCTGTAGATATGCCTATGACGTGTGTGTGTGTGTGTGTGTGTGTGTGTGTGTGTGTGTGTGTGTTTATTTAACTATCGCCTGGTCTGTGATCTTCAGTGGGCGCGATTGGTTAAACTGATACGCGTCCAATTTAGTTTTTAAGCTTGTTTCTGTTAATGAAACATCACTAGACCCGGTCACGGATGTTAGTCATCAATGTATCCTTGTAAATAATAGTTTTGATGCGCTTCTTTCATGTGTATTAAGTTTGATATGCATTTCTTTATTTGAACACACTTACAGCTTATTATAGATATAAAAACATGGTCCTATGGGTTTTGCGGCAGTAGGGAAAGGAATTTTAGTTTTAATAATAATGGGATATAAGTTATTTTCCTTTACTTAAATTAGTTTACTACCTATTATTCGTATGATAATAGTCATGTGTTGAATGAAACTAATATTTTCGTATTTACTACGTGATTTTTTATTTTTGACTATAAACTACATACATACTCCCGACATTTCGGTTACTTTACAGTAACCGTGATCACGGGCAGATGAGATGGATTTCCGATTTTGAATCATAATTCTTACTATTTTAAGTTTTAATTTACTTAACCATTTCTACTCTTTTATCTTTATATATGTGATCTATTTTTAGTAATTTTACTTAAATCAATTCAAATCCATTAAATCGTTTCTGTATTAAATTCCAATTTATTGTTATTTTGATCATGTTTTCTGTGTAAATTCCATTATTACTATAATTTAGTTTTTATAAAGGCTAACTCGGATCAAATGCTACATTGATAGTTACTCGTTTATTCGTTTCTTTCCAGGCGGTGTAGCAAGTGCATTTTTTTGGGGTATAGTCGCTGACGTGTTTGGGAGAAAGAATATCTTGAGTATGACTTTGATAGTGGACTCCACCATACTCCTCGCTCAGAGCACAATATCAGATTACAGACTGCTGATAGCTGCTAGAGGTATCAATGGATTTCTCATCGGTAAGAATGTACTAATATTTTTTTGTTAATTAAATAATATTGTGGGAAAAATACCCATAAAATTACGTTATTTTAGAACTAAAGTAATGTCGCGATGGACCCGGTACTCGCACGGTGAATCCATTGGATGCTAAGAGGTTTCGTCTTTTTTAAATGAAACTAAGATTTTTCAGATTATACTACGCGACTTTAGTTTTGTTAAAACCTAAATACTCCCAACGTTTCGGTTAATTTTCAGCAACGGTGAACATTAAGACGAGATGATCACGCTAGATGTCATTTAATTGTGAATTTATAAGTTTAATAGTGAGAATACACTTTTAAAGCATTTATAAAAGACTAGCTTTCCGCCCGCAGCTTCGACCGCGTGGAGTTCGGTTATATCGCGTTTCCAAGAGAACCTTTTAAAAGTCTGGCATAAAAACTATCCCATGTTCTTTCTTAAGGTCAACTCTATACCTGTATCAAATTTCATTAAAATCAGTTCAATGGTTTAGGCGTGAAAGCGTAACAGACAGACAGACAGACAGAGTCACTTTCGCATTTATCTGAATATTTTTTCTCCATCATCCAGGTGGTCCATCGACGCTGGTGTTCACGTATCTATCAGACCTGGTGGGATTCAAACGTCGACAATTTTATCTAGATCTCATCGGCATGAGTTTCGTTGTAGCTTGGCTTGTTTTACCAGGTACATACATATATTTCAGAAATAAGTTAAAGATACCCGTACATATATATTTAATTTAATTTAACGAACCTACTAACTTATTTCAATATTCCCGATATGAAAACTATAATATTTTATTGACAACATACTTTGTACTTTTCTTTGTAAAAAATATACATTCACTTCGATTATTTGTCCAACTGAAATATACAAAACCATGACAAAACCATAATTTAACCGAAAAATAAGGAAACATAATTACATTTAATTATAATAAAATAATAAAACAATTTTAAATATAAATAAAAAACAACCTCAAATCGTAATCTTGAGATTAAAACTTAGAATCCGAATCAAGGTCCTAAGAATAAAAATAAAAAAAAACCTATTTTTTATCTATTCTAAAGCATAGTACACATTCTAAGATAAGACCTCATAATACGTCCCACTTTCATTTCCGTTTGTATTTGACGTTCAATCCCGGCTTAGTGTTCTAATGTCCTACAAATCATCTTTCTAAGTCAATGCCTAGGTCGTAATAGATTCTCGGTAACAGATGTATGTCAGCCCGCTAGACCATACCAAATTAAAATTACTTATTAGACAGTATTAAAAAAACTAGGATGATAATATTTATTCTGTTATACCTGAGTACAGTTATATAAATATACTGCATATTTTATGACGGTTATAAAAAAGGTGGGCTTTCTTTGCTTTGTTTTTTAAATAATAGCTTTTTTAATAATGATTGGTTAGTACTTGACTGTTATTAGATGCGTTGTTAGGTGGAAATAAAATGGTAGGCACCGAATTTTCTATTTCAGTAATAATCTATTTAGTCTAGCTTTGAGGACACGTAAATTACGATAAAATATTATTCTAGTTATTATTGTAGTTTTTGGTAAAAGCGCCATCTATCGAACAATACGTGCACACACATCTATTGGCAATAATAAAAAATGCTATGCCAACATGTAGCAAGTTATATAAATATACCGTTCTGTTGTCAATCATACATACAATGCCGTTACTTCTAATAATGAGGTTCTTTGCTATTTTTTTTAATAATCAAAAAGTTAAAACGACTATAATTTCCTTATTTCACTTTAAAAAGTCAGAATGATTTGAATCATTTGTTGTTTTTAAATTATTTCATTAGAGCATAGATTAGCAAATGTATTTTTGTGCAAGTATTTTGAAATATTATATAAAATAGTTATGTACATACGTAGGTATTTTTATGTCTAGTTAGAGATAAGGTACTTTGTTTTAGTTTTTGAAGACTTGAAAATAAATTATTGCAATATTTTTATACGTAAATTCTTGTTATTGGACTTCGTTTCTAACAATACAGTGTCATCCACAAGTTCTATGCTAAATTTAACATATAAAGTGATGTGACTATTATTTTTCAGCAATCGCTTGGTTGGTGATCCCCATAAAGCTATCCTATACTACCATACTCCCAATATATTCCTGGAGACTTTATCTCGCCCTCGGCAGCATCCCGGGATTCATGGCTGGTATATGGGTGCTGTTCCTCCCTGAAAGCCCCAGACTGCTGTCAGATACAAATAGAAGCGATAAAGCCTTGAGAATAATTGGCAAAATCCATAAAAGCAACAAAGAAATGACTGAGTTTAAGGTATGTATGTCCATATTAATTTTATGATATTTTAATGGTCTTTACTTGTTTAAGCTTGCAAACAAAAACGAGGTTATTTTTTGCTCGAAACATAGAATCTTCTGTGCTAAAATGCAACCTATTTCTCTACTGTGGAAGCATATGTCTATATATATTATTTGCAACTGAAATTTCGTCCCAATTCTTTATGCGTAAATGTTTATATGGTAAAATCACTATATTTCATATTTATCTAGATTAAGAAACTGATACAAGACAACATATTGATGACGAAATCTATGAACGGGGAACAAAATAGGAGTAAAGTACTATTTATGGGAGTTTTGAAGGATCTGAAAATGTTCGTTTCAAAGATGTACGCCAAGAAATCAACTTTGATACTCTTTGTGTTCTTCGCTAATATGGCCGCGTAAGTATTTATAATATTGATATATAAATAAAATAATATGAACCTTAGCTTTCATCCATATATTTTATGATTGTAGAGGATTTGGTCTCAACTTGTGGATACCAGAACTACTTCTCCGCACTAAAGGCAAGAGTTGTTCATCAAATATAAGTGTACCAGAAAACGCTAAATTATTAAATGCTAGCATATCTTGGGATGATCTACCCAAGGTATTGGAGCTGCGTGGCGAACCTGATGATGAATACAACGCTACAGTATTTGATGCCACTGGTGGAGATTGCAATGAAGATATTGATGATTCGGTATGAATCTATTAAAATTGTTTTACAATTAATTCACAATGCCTTAAGAATATAAAAGGGAAACGAATTGTATATGAAATATTGCAAGTGAATTTGACACTTTTTTGTTTATATCTTTAGCTAAGGATCTTTAACTGCCTTAAGACTGTTTGCTTAAAAAATATTATATCTAAATGAAAAACAGAATAATGAGATCTAAGACCTTCTCGAGTTTTATTCATTTAAATGAAACTAATATTTTTCGGATACACTACTGGGTTTATTTTTGTGAAAATACGACATCTTCTCTGCTGGTAATCACGGTTGCTAAAAAGTAGCTGAAACTTTGGGAGTATGTAGTTTTGTATGTAGTTGCGTAGTATCTCCGAAAAATATTAATTTAATTGAAATGAAAAACAGAATAATAATACTATCAGGGTAAATACTCTAATGATTATAATAGTGTAAAACCTAATTCGGAAACAAATGTATAGACTTATAAAATTTCTAAAATGTCATTTCATATCTGCCTAGTCTACAATTTATGTCCCAATTCCAGATATATACATCAGGTCTGATTGTTGGTGCGTGTTGTGTGGTTGGTAACGCTGCCTGTGCTCTCATCTCTTCACGAGGTGCTGTCGGCGTGCGTCGTGCTGCAGTACTCTGTGCACTCGCCTGTGCTGCTGCGTGTGTTGTGCTGGCTGCCTGTGTCTGTGCGTGTGTCGCGACAGCACATATAGCGGTTGCCGCTGCCGCTGCGTTAAACGCTGCTTCATTAAACGGGAATGTTCTGCTGATACGGTTGCTATTGCACGCTCTTCCTGCTAAGTTGAGGTTAGTTTGTGGTCTATTATTTTTGCTTAACATGAAATCGTTTAAGGTTCGTTTTTTCAATAGAATATAGTCTGTTTTATTTTTTGTAACTTATTGAAAAAATCTAGAGTTATTAAGAGCAAAGATAAGGACATTTCATTATAATGAGGAATCTCCCTTAAAAATCTGTGATTATTTTCTAAACCCTATATAGTATATATGCTTTTTAATACTGTTTATATTTGTCTAGTGGTCTGGGTGTATGTTGGGGAGCGTGGTGGGGTCGAGCTGGTGGCGTTGCTACCAATTTCGCTGTTGGCGCACTATTAGACTACTCATGCCCGGCACCTTTCATAGCTGTGGCGACACTCTTAGCACGTGAGTAGTTTTAAAGGCTTGTAAAATAAACTACTTAAATAGAAAACAATATACCAAAAACTTATACTGTTTGATGATTTTTTTTTTGTATAAAATGTTATCAAGTATCACCAATGTTCAATTTAGTATGTGTACACTATACATACATTTACATTTTTATTAACTCTCAATTTTGTCCAACCATTAACTTGCAACTGAAAAATTTGTAAAGGCTTCTATGAGTATTCCCTTTGATGATTTGGAACTTTGGAACTTGGAGACAGCAAATATATCCCATGAACAGGAAACTAGTATTTATATACATATATAATATATATTTTTATATGTTTAGTTTCAATCGGTGGCATAATGATGATACAAATAGATCAAGATAAAACAGCTGACGAAGATAAGAATGGAACTGAGAGCAACGGGAAAAATATATATATAGACAGATATATATCCACCCACATGTAGTATATATAGTTTAATATTTTATATGACTATCCAATGTATCTACGTAGCATTAGTTAAGCGTGAATCTACTTAAAGGAAGACTTTTGAACTCAAACAGGATTTAAACGATAAATATTGTGAACAGTTGATTCAAATAACGTCTTCGATTGTCAATTGACGGAAATACATATTTATGAAGTTGCGGGTTCGAATCCTGTGTATATTTTTATTTTCAATACATTTAAAGTATCCCGAACCGAGCTTTAAAAGTGATATTAATAATTCTAAGATTTAAAATGTATCCTTCGAGATAACTCGAAATAAATATAAATTTATTATGGAAATTATAAAAACGTTAAGACTCAGCATGTTCCCTTGAGGAATAAAATTTTTATATGTTGATATTTAATTATTTTAACATCACTGATAACTATAGGAAGGCCAGGTAAACAAAATAAAACATGTAAATACACGTTTAGGGTTTTGTAAGTCCTTAATTAACATAACATATGCTACTATAAATGTTTTACAAAAAACTACAGTATAAATGTTATATACTTTAAAACTTCGAGAAGTTAATTGGTTCAATGAAAAGTAAGATTGTACGATCTTGGAATAAATTATTAATAGTAGTTTAGTATAATCGGCAGACCCTGGCTAAAGCTTGGCAATTGCCAGGAAGAAGAGAAGAGTAGTTTAGTATAATAGAATAATAATATACAAAATGTTTCCATTATTATTTTATTATATTACTACTATGACTTAGAAAATATAACATAATTTAGTTGCCTGTACTGATAACTAGTGTCTTATAATTAAAAGTGACTGTTTGGTTTTGTTGCAAAATCAAAAAAATGTATTGAAATTAATATATTAATTTATTTTGAGATGAATTTTATATAATCCGTCCAAAATTAGATAAGATGATTACTTTTATTTATGAATATCATGTAACACTTAATAATTTAATACATATGACGATATTCAGAGAATATTTTAATGAAAATAATTGCATTTTACACTTAGTTACTATATACAGGGTGACTGGTGAATTACCTTCGATATTTGAGGACGTGATATTTGACGATCATATATGACAAAATAAAAATTAATATAACATCAATATTAATAAACTTCTGAGTAAAATTAAAAAAAAGTTATGTAATTAGTTACGCATCGTGTGAACACCCTACAGATTAGGTATACACACACACACACATAGGCGTGCGGCGGCGTAGTGTTGTATCAGCACGCCGCCGCACGCGTCCACACTTGGAACACTTGGAACGTATCCATACTTTATTTATTTATACGGAAATTTGGTCAAAAATTAAGTACCTATTTTTTTACATAATTCGAATGAGAATCATGTACCGAGTATTCTCCTTAAATATTGATAGTAATTCACCAGTCACCCTGTATAAACAAGAGTTTTTTAAAGAGCATTGTATAATGTATATGTTTACATTTAAGAAACAAAGTGCCATTTAGGCTTGAAATTTTTTTAATGACAGTATTTTATTACATAAGATTTCATAGAATACTCCAAAACTGATAAAATGTTGAGAATAAAAAGAAAATATTTATGTGAGAAAAACGTATGCAGTAAAGTTTGTAAGACGAAAAATAATGTATTTAAATGAAACTAAATTTGTTACTACGGATATACTACGCGGTTTATTTTTGTAATAAACTACATACTCCCGACGTTTCGGCTACTTTTCAGCAACCGTGATGACGGACAGATGAAATGACAAACAATGTATCCATTAATAAAATATCATATTTAAATTAATTTTTAAATATTGTTTATTTTTTTATGTATGAAAATAATATTTTTTGGATATACATGTAGCATTTCAAATATTTGTTGTAAAATTGAAAGATTTGTATTATTTTTGTCGTGTATATTTTGTTATGTATTTAAATTTTGCCATGATTTAGATTTTAATTATTGATAGGAATTAAATTAGATCTCTTAAGACTTAACGTATCGATAGAGTAAAATATAAGAATATTCATTAAGTTATCAGTTTGATTACTATGTGTATTAATATATGATTATATTTCTTCTAAATATTTTTATTTCATACTAGCTGACCCGGAAAACGTTGTTTTGCTATATAAAAAAGTAAAAAATTTGTCCGAAAAAAAAAAAATAAAGGTGAACTACCGTTATTTTTTGGGGGTATGAAAAATAGATGTTGGCCCATATTCAGCCCTACTCAATATGATCAAAAAATTTCATCAAAATCGGTCCAACCGTTAACATCCAACATCAACATCGCGACACGAGAATTTTATATAAGTATATAAGATTAAAACTTTGGTTTTAATTTAAACAAAATTAATTCCTGTAAAAAGAAGACATAGTTTCTTGTAGAAGTTTTTCTAGAATAGAATTAGTCCCAAAGAGGTTTGATGTCAGGCAGGCGGCCGGTCGTAATAACAATTAGCCAAAACTATTCACAACATGTAAGGCAGATTCTGGCTAAACCTGGGAAATTGCCAGGAAGAAGAAGATAAAGTATTAAACAAACAAAGTAAAGTGTTTGAATCATTTTATTAATATTTATAAAACTAAAATACTAGTGTCACTCAAACGAAATCACAGATAGCTATACTGTTTGGTTTATATAAAAAAGAAATATTCTACATATTTCTCGATACATACAATAGTAGTATGTATCGAGAAATTATTCTTTTAAACATTTATTTATAATACATGGAATGACATTTTTTCCTTCATAATTATTAAAATAATAAGTATAGTTTTTCAATATTTATATAAGTTATCAACGAAATCTGTGCCGAACTTGAATTGATCAAGATTTTAATTAATTATAACTAAAGATATAATTAAAAATCACAGTTGAAATATATTTAAGTGAATTACGTTCTGCTTGGCAGTGGTTTGTCGGGGGGTAGGAACCACGCAGCAATCGCGCTACCTTAAATAGAAAGTCACAAATGAAATTTCATTCACAATTCATCATAAAACAATAGGTACTTTTCAGGCAGAGAGAGGAGCTTGGACGGTGGAGGTGAGCGTTTAACGCGTTAGATAGGGACCCCTTAAACCTACACCTGGGTCACAAGTCACAGTCACTGTTGAAGCTCCTCTCACTACAACGATGTACCCGACAACCGCACGTTGAATACATTGAATGCTAAGAGGTTTCGTCATATTACGTTTAATAATAATGAAGAGCTACGAGTATGTACCATTAAAGATACAGATTCCTCATTTTAAAGTAAGTGAAATTTATAAATAATTAATACAGTATAATAATTATTAATAAGAATAAGAAAAAAATAATATTTACAACTTCCTCTTGTTCCAGCTTAGCAAAATTTTACAATTCATTTAAACTGTGATCTTAATTTAGAGATTGCTTTAAAAAGTAAACTAATAAATGACTGTAAACTATTAAAAAAGTATATAACTATAATACTCACTGAACACCACCAGCGACCATATATAGAATGTGATGTGGCAGTGATAGAAGATGAGGTTACCAACCACGTTGATACCAACGAACGTGCTTGTTCGACCCACCATGATGCTGAGGCAGGAAGCCATACCCCTGACACAGAAATTATAGTGTAATGAGTAATATACAGGGTGACTGGTGAATTACTATCAATATTTAAGGAGAATACTCGGTACATGATTCTCATTCGAATTATGTAAAAAAATAGGTACTTGATTTTTGACAAAATTTCCGTATAAATAAATAAAGTGTTGACACGTTCCAAGTGTTCCAAGTGTGGATGCGTGCGGCGGCGAGCTGATACAACACCACGCCCAAGCCGCGTATGTGTGTGTGTGTGTGTATACCTAATCTGTAGGGTGTTCACACGATGCCTAATTAATTACATAACTTTTGGTTAACTTTACTTAGAAGTTTATTAATATTTATTTTATATTAATTTTTATTTTATCATATATGATCGTCAAATATCACGTCCTCAAGTCTCGATAGTAATTCACCAGTCACCCTGTATAAGGTATAAAGAAAAGATATACCTGAGATCCTTTTTAGAAATGTATTGTTCTATTGGGATTCGTTAAATAAATTTATGAGAAAAAATCTATAACCTACGAATAGACTTATGGTATACAATTCAATTTAATACCAAAATAACTAACTCACTAAGTAGTACCTTAGCTAAATAAGGTCTTGGAAAAGAATAGTTACACTCACCTGCAAGATGTTGGATATAATTCCACGAAATACGCCGCCATAATGCCCATAGCCTGATTGGTGCAAGAGAATGCCATGAATAGAAACACGCTGGAGATAGGCTCCGGCATCAGATTCAATAGAGCTCCACTCAATGCAGATATAACGAGGATGGAAATCAACACCACGCGTCTCCACCTCATGAGGTAGGACAGCGCGAAGTTTAAGAACGAATAGACCATCGCTGACGCCACGAGGGTTATGATCACGTTGTCTTCAATATAACCCAAACAAATATCTGGAGTCTGAAACAGCAAAAAGGAAAAAATATATTCAACAATAAAGATTGTCTTCTATTTGAAGTCATAGACCTCTCTCATCGACTTCCAAGCGCTTCAGTGAAAGATATGCTTAAAACAACTTTGTGATGACATCATTAGTAGAACATTTACAATTCCAATATCATTAGGATGAATTTCTGGCAGTAATTATAATTTTAATAAGCGAAAAATTCTCATTATGTACGCGATATAGAGGAAAGTATCCTTCAGGCTTATTTGAAAAAAAATAATCCTGTTCTTCAAGTTGTTTGTTTGTTTGCAAAAAATATAATAAGACGAAAACTACTTACAATCTTAGTATGATTAGCTTCTATTGTATAATTGTCAGGTTCAGGTTTAACGGAGATGAGTGTACAGACATCACCTTTGGTGTAATCTGCCTGTGACTGAGTCACTTTTAACATATTCAGAACGTATGGAAGCCACACCAGGAGACTGTTGTTACTGTGAATACATTTAATAGTATTTTTATACAAATTTCTATCATTTAATCAACACTTTTTTTACTAAGGACACTCCTTCATTTAATAGTTATATTATGATAGTCTTCTGTGTAAGGTTTTGACGAATAAGCATATTAAATTGTACTAAGTTTTTTTTAAAAAGCTAGAAAGATGCCCTGTATTCAAAAACACAAGTAACGTAGTAAAATGAAACAAATATTTTATATTATTCTCTTATGGGTTACTCGTACCTACTTTATATACATATATATATATATAAAGAAAAAAGTTCAATGTCGAATTCTAGAAATAAACGATTTGTAGTATACCAAACTAGGCTGATGAAAAGTTAAAAAAATTCCTCGAAAGAAATAATGAAATATATACTCCTAAATGAGGAGGATGAAATGGAAAACACATAAAATTTCAGCTACAAGACAATCGATTTTTTTATGTAAATGACACTTTCTTTAATTTATATCTTTTTAGATTACATTTAACTGTTACTTAAAGTATCGTTATAGTAAAAGGTAATTTATATAATATGTCTTACGTGAAATATATAACTGAGACTATGAAGAACAGCTGACAGGTTCGCCACAGAAGAGGAGGTCTGAACAACGGTGCACTCTGCTCGTAGGCTTTCTTCAATAACGAATAATCCTTCGTGCACACCGAATCTTCCAGGTATATTGATTTTACCTAAAAGTTATATTATTAAATGAATACTCGCGAAAGTTTTAGATCTCAATTTTTATGTTACTTTCAATTGAACATTATTTTTTACCATTGTAATTAGCTGTTAGATTATCTCTAACATATTAAATATTGTCAGTAGATGGTATTGTTAAAACAGTTTTATACTTAGTAAAAAAGTACTTTCTACTATGAGGTTTTGGGCACTGACTATAAAGTAAACTGTGTCATAAAATAATAAAATACCAAAGCAATTTCTTTGACATACAACCACATTCTTATCCATAATAATATTATAAGAATGATAAAAGAAATTTAGGATGCCAATACCACAAAATATTTGTATGGGAAGTGGTAATAGTAGTCTAGTAGGGAAATAAAAAAATAGTTTTAATAAAATTACCTGAAAATCACTCTTGACACGAGATTTCCTGTTGTTAATCGCATAGATGGACCTCAAGACTTCTAATGCCTCCTCCTGTCTACCGACGTTGACTAGAAACTTGGGAGATTCGTGGAAATAGCAGATGACAATTCCCCCAATGCCCATGGGTATCGCCAGTACTATCATAAGGAGACGCCATGGAGTAAACTTGATCCCTAATAGAGGTACATCACTTTCGAAGTTCAGTGACAGAGTTGGGTATGTTAACACTGCAACAATTTTGTTTGTTATTTTGAGTATTTGGCAGGAATAAAACTTCTACAAGAATGAACTAAACATAATTTATATCTATTAATTAACTGTTTGCAAGGTTCAATTAACTTACTTACTTCAAATAGATTTTTGAGATTACAAAATTAAACACTGAAAAAGGAAGCACTAAAATCAGTGAAATAGTGCTAAGAATTAATGATATTTGTGCAGTTATTTCCTGTTCAATGTTTTTTTTTACTACTATAATGTACCATACGATACAATTTGTGAATCTCAAAAGAAGTTATTTCTCAATGACCACTCACGGGCAGCTATTCCAGGAGATAGCACGACGAAGCAGGTCATCATCAACATGTACTTGCTTCTCACTCGCTGAACACACGACTCGCCCACCAGGGTGTAAGCTACGGAATTGATAGCACAGGAGCTGAAATGTTGGCAGAAAAATAAATATAATAATATATGGATACGAGACTTAGACCCAGTTTCACCAATCATTGTTAAATAAGTAACATCGTGTTAAGGCGTTTGATGCTCTGTTAGATGCATCGAGCGTCCCACCACGCACAAATGTCCGTTTAAATGTCTTAACCAGCCACTAATATTAATTTCCGCTACTGCTTATTTGAAATCTACGAAACATACCCATATATTAAAATAAGAATTACATGTTAAAACTTATAACCTACACCTAAGACTACATGATTGCCACGATGTTAGGATGACAATGGCATTCTATTGCTTGTATGGTTTAAGGAATCTTCTGGTTCACACGGATTGCTGTTGGCTCCGCGGAGTCAGCGGCGTCACTAATTATATGATATTTATGTATGTATATACATGTCACCCGGCGATATTAAATTATTTCTTCATATTACTGAAACTATACAAAGAGTATAAGAAAAGAAAACACTGATATATATATCCTTGATGTATTAGGTCGTTTGTATTTACATTTTTATCTAAAGTTTTTATTACTATAATTATTGTAATTTCTATATACGACCTAGAAAGACTACCTAAAATTAGAGTAAAGTAAATTATATTATAATTATATGAAAAACATTTAATTTTCGACAAAAACGATGTTAAATTTACATCTCATAAAAACCTAATAATATCTTTGAAAATTCAAAACGGTACCTAAATACAAGTTAACCTTAAGACCCAATTTCACCAATCAATGTTAAATAAGTGAGAGCTTGTTAAGGCGTTTTATGGTATGCTCTGTTATGTATCGAGCGTCCCACCACGCACAATTAATGTCCGTTTGAATGTCTTAACAAGCCACTAATATTAATTCCTGCTCTGGAGCTCCGTCTAATGCATTCTCAAAACTCAATTGTCCAATCGCAGCCCTGATTTCTTGTAACCATAGTAACGTCATCTGTTTTGTCAGTTTCGACTATTTCTTTGTACTTATTATTAAAGTGAATTAAAATTTCATTTCCTATGATGATTTTGCCTCCAGCTTTTTTATAACATTGCAAATTAATTTTTCTTTTTATCTCTTATAATTTGAACACAATTTATGCCTATATTTATAACATAATAATAAATAACACAATTTATTGACAACCCGATTTTGACAGGTTACACCTAGTAAATTGAAAAGAAAACTTTTTGTGTGCTAAATGTATGCAACCAACGATATATAAAATTTAGTCGCGTTACCTAACAAGTGACGTATCGAGGGATATATACGATCAAAGTATAAAGTGGTGGTATCCTTGATCGTATATATCCCTCCATACGTCACTCATTAGCTATTGAGGCCAAATTGTATATATATTATATTGCTGATTGCATAGATTTTTCGTACAAAAAGTCGGTGACCAGATAATCTTCCTCCTTTTACATAATATGTAGTTACTAGTAAACCCGCCGAACTCCGTTTCGCCACCAGAAGGCTTTTATATAACATTTCGTTTGGTGATTAAAAGATGAAGTTTTTTTTTTTGTTTTATATTTGGAAAGGTTAATTTTTATTTCATTTCACAACAGTAATGAATTCATTTCGATTACAAAAATGAAGTGTTATTTAGTTGAACTTCTCTAATTAAATGAAATTGAATCCAAAGTAGATACCGAATCGAAGCGTTATACGGACAGTAAATTACCCGTTTCATTGAAGTGCTTCTTTGTAAACCACATTTTTTGTTTTTTGGTTAATATAGCGTTTGGTTAATAAAGCGGATGGTTTCCAAACTCGTGAACACGCAAAATATATCTGCCCATGTGAAAAACAAAGATTTTCTAAATTTATCCCGCAAATACTAAACGGTTTTTAAGAGTTCAAACTACAGACACAATACCGGTTTGTCACATGAAATTAACTGAGAAAAGAACAATGAGTAGCTGTCAAACAATGTATCATGCGACGGCATCATCTACTTAAAATATTAATTTGTAATATATGTTATGTATGATGGCACTGTATGTGACAAAAGATTTTCCCCCTTTTCTGTTGAAATTTTTTGTTGTCACGGAGCCCGAGACCTTTCCAACGAATGCAAAACCGTGGAAATTGGTTCATTCGTTCTGAAGTTATAGCGTCAGGATGGAAAACCGGACTTAATTTTATATAGTAGATTTCTTACAAATATCAAATTGTTATCCATACGTCATTACATATCTGTCATTATACGTCAATTGCATAGCTGTCAATTGTGTTTCGTTATAACACGTTTTATAGTGACTGGCGTTTCATGTCAAGTCCCACGGGAATGCTGTCGAACGGGATAAAAAGTATCCTATTGCAATTTCCTGGTTTTAAACTACCTCCCTGCCAGTTTTCAGCTAAATCGGTTCAGCGGTTCTTGAGTTATAAGTGGAGTAACTAACACGACTTTATTTTATATATAGTGATGATGTTCTAACGATTTTATACACATTATTAAGTTGTTGATATTTAAGGAACTTAAAAACCAGTTAATATATGAAATCTTTTTATGAATAATAAAAAATACAAAAAAATAAAGCTAATTTGAATTATTCCAAATAAGAAATTAAACAATACTAAAAAAAACAATAGTATCAAAAAAATTGTACATTTAAAATTTACCAGCGACATCTGGTGTGTATTTTGCTCAAATTATTAATCGGGTTAATTGGTTGTGGGTCATATTCATAAATTCTGTAATTAATTACGGTTTTATTCCATTCATGAACACCATGTAAATGATTTAGTGTATGATAGTAATTAGAATGTTTCTGGACATCAATTAAACGATGTAATGCGATAGTGGGAACGAAAACAAAAACATTTGTTTGATATTAAGACGATATCTTATTTAGAACGAAATGTAATTATGAGACAAATGTGACTAATTTAAGATGTTTGAAAAGATATTGTAAAAAACATCTTATTAACTTGTCAGTGAAACTTTTTTGAAGATTTCATTCGATAGATTCACCATTAATATATTTTTGGTAATAAACAAAACAAAAAAAATACATAGTAACAACCAATGTAGTTACTAATTCTATCACTTAATAAATAAATCAATAGAAATATATACAAATGAATGATTCAATAAAATATATTTTAGATATAAATATATGAACAAATTGCAAACTTGCAAAATGCAAAATTGCAATTGCAAAATGTAATAAATGCTGATGAGTGTCAATTTCAAATATTAATAGATGACCTTTAATCCTTCATCTTACTGTCTTGCAACCTATTTCATGATTATTTTAATTTTTATGGAAATTAACGTGAAAAGTTAATGGAAAAACATACTTCTATACATAATTTTGGAAATTATTAGTCAGGAAGCTTAGTTTAAAAGACTTACAAACAAACTGAAAAGAACTTAACGAAGGCCAGGAATAACCAGTTGGTGGTGATGCTGGCGAGGCAGGAGAGGAGGAACCCAGCCTGGACTGAGATGATCAGGGAGAACCGCCGGCCGCGAGTGTCTGATATGTAGCCCCATATATACGACACTAGCAGGATACCTGCAAAATATATAACCATTAAATGTTTTCTATGGCACTTCTTATTTTTTCAGTCTTACGCAAAAGGAGTGTGTAATGAGATTTAAGACTTTCGCGAGTATTCATTTAAATGAAACTAATATTTTCCGATTACTTCGCGTGTTTTATCATTTTAAACTGCATACTCCCAACATTAAGGTTAGGTTTAGGTAACTTTGTAGCAACCGTGATCACGGGCAGACGACATGTCTGTCTGTGGCATTGTAGGTATCAAACGGGTCGACTGATTTCGATGTGTTTTTTTCTTTCCTATTGTTTTCTTTATTAGGATTGTTGAATATCGGTTGAGCAGCGCACGAATATCAGCTCTTAACAATATAATGTAGGGAATTTTTGTGCTTGTGATTACTCGATTAAGCCTTTCACACGTGCCATGATGGTTATATTGACAATATGTAGGTCGTTTTTAAATATAACAACATTTTATTATACTGTATATTATACTTAGTTCTATTTCTTAACAAATGTGTGGAAACTAGATCAATGTATAGTAATTTTATATCAATATAATCACATAAATTGAAGACTTTCTATAATGATCATGAACAAATCAATAATTCCGGAGTCTGGACTGTATTCATTTAACTATGGAATCTTTCAGATTGTATCTCAAGTGTTCTGACCAAAATAAATAAATATCAGTTTATTGGTTCAATGCTTTTGGACGAACGGAATTGTTTCGTGATAAAAACAGAAACGAGGAGCTTATTGTGGTAATGAAAGTATGATGGAATGACTAACGACAATGATGAAATTATTTTTAATAAAATTAATGAAAATTTTACCTAATATTGTGCAAATAAGTCTTATAGGTATGGCTAAAAAATGTTATCTATGTAACATAATTTTTCGGTGATCATCAAATCAGTTCTGATATAGTAAATTGATGTTCTAATTATGATGTTATAGAAAATTTGTCACTGAGTCTAGATACGAAATATCTTAGCATTCAATGTATTCCACGTGCGTGTGTCGGGTCCATCGTTGCAGGAAGAGAAGTTTAAACAGTGCCCGGGACTTGCGACCTAGGTGTAGGTTTAAGGGACTCCTATCTAATGCGTTAAACGCTCACCTCCACCGTCCAAGCTCTCCCTACCTAAACTAATTTGAAAAGAGATAGCTCGACAAATCTCACCGATAAACGGCAGTGATGTAAGTATCCCTTTCTGAGAGACTGTGATGTTGAGATCACAAGCTGAAGCCACGACCAATCCGAAGCCGAACATGTCGGTTCCCATACCCAGGAGAACCAGACCACAGGTCGCAGCCAGCAAATAGTTATAGCGTCCATTCCCTGGAATAAGAACATTAGATATATATTGGTAGTTCAAAATTAATTTCTCGCATATCTTCTTCGGATCTCCCGGTTGTACACTTTAACGGTGTTAACATACCGTTCAGTGTCACAGCTAGGAATTTGGGAATTACCTTTGACCAGCACCTGTCTTGGGAACCACAGGTAAGTGAGGTAAGTAAAAAAATTTTTGCAGCCTTTGGCTCCCTCCGAAGATTACGCAACTTTCTACCCATCCCTACCAAAGTTATGTTAGCACAGTCACTCCTACTACCAATTCTCGATTATGCTGACGCATGTTATCTTGATTTAAGAGAGGAGCAACTTAATAAACTTGAGCGTCTCCAAAATCTTTGCATCCGATTCATATTTGGTCTTCGTAAATATGATCACGTTTCTGAGTTTCGTAAAAAGCTCAAGTGGCTCCCAATCCGGCTTCGCAGGAATACTCACATCCTTCAGCTTCTGTACTGTATTCTGTTCAATCCGTCTTCTCCTTCATATCTAAAAGAACGTTTTCAGTTTCTTAGTTCTTCACATAGTCATAATCTTCGTTCTGAAGAGAATTTGATGTTAAAAATACCACCTCATACAACTTCTTTTTACACTCACTCTTTTACTGTCCATTCTATTCGTCTTTGGAACTCTCTTCCACTCGAAGCAAGACGTGCACCAACCTTGACTTCTTTTAAAAAATGATAAAAGAGCACTATCTTGCTTCGTGACATATTATGTAACTATCTATAGTATGTAAATGTATATATTTATAATGTGTATGTATATTATATTATTATATAAGTATATATTTATGGTATATTTATTTATGTATCGTATATATACATATATATGGATGTATATATATATATATGTATATATATATTGTATCTATATTTATAATTTGTACACCCCTACCATCCTATCTCTCTCCTCTACCAAAGGTTGCCTGGAAGAGATCGCTGTTTTAGCGATAAGGCCGCCTGTTGTACATTTTCTTTTCTTTATGTTATTCCTATTACTCCTATTATATATTGGTGTACAATAAAGTGTATATAAATAAATAGATATATACAGGTGATGAAATTCAAACACTCTCGTGTATTTAATTGTGAATACTTTGAGTCTTGATACTTGATAGCATAGCATTACAATTAGAAATCAAATATTTTTCAATATAAATTAACAAATAATGAGAATTGTCTGAGTTTCTTATAGAACATTATTTGTATGTTAACTTGTTTTGTTTTTGTTTATTATGACTGCTATACAAAATACTGATGACTAAAATTTATCTGAAATTTATATCTAGTACTACTTTTAGATATAATCAGCATTAAATGCTAAAAATATTGAATTAAAAATTCAGCACTTATATTGTAGATAAATTAAAATCTACAATATAAGGAATTTTTTTATTTAATTAATAAAATAAGTTTATATTCCCAAAACAATGACATTTCAAGCTTAATTCAATTGTAAATATACACTATCTTTACTAAAAGAGATTTAATAATAAGAATTAGTAGTACAATGAAGACTTTGTATACGTTATCCAAATATCGAAGCATTGCAGAAGAGCAATGTAAACACAAACATGCAGGAATGCATCGAATAAATGTTCATTTAATTGTAACAATTGTACGCCTTAAAAATTATTCAAAAGCAAGTAAACTTCACAATTCATTTTAATTAAATTTATATCAACAATAGTAATATGATATTAATTGTTATATATTTATAATTAAATCGTTAAAGTCCGCGTATTTAAAGTGGCATCAGATGCAATTTACTTTATATACATATACCTACATCGAAAACAGTTTATTTAAAGAAACAAAGCTTCGAAAACAAAGCTCGTAATGAGCTAGCATTAAAAATAAATAAGAGTAAGTAAACAATAATTATGAAGAAATTACTGGATGACATAGAAAAAATTCTTAACGTCACAGCTTTATGGCGGTCCATTGAATAGAAATGTTTACCACAAACTACAATTGTACATGAATTCTTGATATAATGTTATTGTTTACGAATGCTGAGGAATGAAGGTGTGAGTATGGAGTACCAGTTCTCTCCAGGGCATCCTCGAATGGTGTGGGTGAATCCTCTTCCATGGCACGACTGTTCCTGAAAACACTTCAGCGAGACTGAATGAGCAGTTCTGAAGATTTTCAAAGTCATTTTAAGCGCAACGCACACTTGAGTGATTTGACGCTACGTTTTTTTAGACGCTGTAGTATAAGCCCACTTATTATATGTACACAGTAATAGATTATGCTAGTATGTTACTATTTTTTGAAGTAAAATTCTTATGCGACTTACAACAAGGTAGCGTTAAACGTTTAACGTTTCTGGGGACTAAGATATTTCTACCCTTTCTGTTTTCATTCCAACATTACGAAGATACACTTCTTGCGTTCGGGGAGATTCCACTCACAGTTAATTATTTTTTTCGCTTTTAGTGAAACTTTTATGAATTTTGATTATATAATCTACTAGCTTTCCGCCCGCAGCTTCGCACGCGTGGAGTTTGATTACATCGACAGACAGACAGAGTTACTTTCGCATTTATAATATGAGTAGGGATTCAAAATAAATGAAGTATTATTACACTCTCTCTCATTATTGTACAAATAATTCGACAAATATTTTAGTAGCTCAGTATACACGCTCCTCATTTCCAAGATACCAACAAGTCCCTTGCAATGATTTCGCAAGCTACGTAATTATATCAACACTGACCATCCATTGCTGGTTAGTCAAGCATTTTAAATAAAATTTCCGTGCTAAATATCCAATGTATACACGAGAAAAATTATAAGCATATAATTGTATATGGCATTACGCCAAATAGGAGTAATATTGGTGTACAAGGTCAATGAAATCGAGTGTTTGTATTCGAAAATATCAGTCGAGCACGTCACATGCTGACGAGAGAACCTCAAGCTTGGCAAGTCACTCCACAGAACTGTTGTGTACAAATAAATATTATGTATCAGCTGTTTTGAACCAATTCTTATGTATTTGTTTTTCAGAGCCCTTAATCTTAATTTTATAATAAAATTTTACATCGCAATTAATATTGTGTATGGCAATTCTGATTAAAAATTTGATTAATTTAAGTTATTCGATTAATTTGATTAAACTTTTGAGCTTAAATGATTTTATATTGATTGTGAAGTAGAATTAATTAATACATTTTTTTGGTACGGGGGTGCGACGGAGGCAATTCCTACGCCTCCAATAGCACCCCTGTGTTCCGGGCTGGGGTCGGCGTGGTAACCCGGCCCTATTGAAAGTCCGGCGTCGTCGGGGCGGTCCTAATTGCCGGGATCGCCCCCATTCTCCGAGGGAGTAAGTCCGGTCTTTGCCAGGACCGGCCAGTCGCTGGTGTGCCCTGTCGCTGACAGATCCAGGGTACACCGACATAGCTGCCGATGGCTTTCGCAGTGGTTTTAGTGAGTAGGGGCCTGCCCAGGCCGAGCCTCACACATCCCTTCCGGCCCCACCAAGGCCGGTTGGACGGCTCGTAAAAAGAGTTTCCACTACGTCATCAAAAAAAAATATATGTTACCAAATATATAAAAATATATGAAGCTTATGTAACTAAATTATGGATAATATACTTTTTTATGTAAAAAGTGGCAAACGAGCAGACGGCCCACTTGATGGTCAGTAGTAACCGTCGCCCATGGACATCCGCAACATAGATGTTTCGGATGCGTTGCCAACCTTAGTTGTGGAGGAAAAGGGAGGGGTGGGAATAAGGAAATACAAGGAAAGGGTGGGAACAAGGAAAAGGCAACCGGCCCTCTCACTCATCGGACTAAACACAGATGACTACTTCACGCCGCTCTTCTGTGAGAGAGTGGTACTTCCCCGGCTGAGCCAGTCCATGTTTGAGCTGTAGTAACTTAACCACAGCTAGAGTCTATAGTCTATTACCTAAAAATTGACAGTTAGTCCATTTTTGAGAGATACCCTGAACAAAGTCCAAAAATAATATTTGTCTTTGGACTTTATATTATATGCTTAAATTAATATTTATACTCCAACTTAACTTTTAATATAAGTTTTGTAATGAATTTATAAAATAATTAATTTATATACATACGTGTAATATTAAAACACTAGTTTTTGCCCGCGACTTCGTCCGCGTTAGTTTGGTCAAGTGTAATATATGTAGGTATAGCTGACCAGGCAGTGGTGGCCTAGTGGTTAAAGGGCCCGCCTCTCGTTGCCGAGGGCGCGGATTCGACCCTGGCCCGGGCAAGTACCAATGTGATTTTTCAGTCTTATGTACTTTCTAAGAGTATTTAGACATCACTGATTAATGTTGATTCCCAAAGAGAGGGTTGATGTCAGGCAGGCGGCCGGTCGTAAAAACAAATAGCCAAAACTCTTCACAAACATGTAAGGCAGACCCTGGCTATAGCTGGGAAATTGCCAGGTAGAAGAAGAAGCTCACCATGCAAACTCTATTCCGTCTTAGAGGCCATAAATAATCAGGTTTTTCCTGTTTCAAACAAACAGAATGATTGACATATTAGTTACTTGTCAAATCTAATGTCAAAAAAACGTTTGTATGGGAAATAAAAAAAGGGCTGTTTTTAGGGTTTTCCCGGCAATTATTCCAATTTTCTCACCTTTTAAACCTTTCCTGGACATCCAGGAGTATTTCAAGACTCAAATTAGCCAAATCGGTTCAGCCGTTCTCGAGTTTTAGCGAGACTAAGGAACAGCAATAAATTTTTATATATATAGAAGATTAGGCAACTAAACCAGAAAGCTTTTTTAGTGTTATTTTTCATATATTTTACATATAAAGTGTTATTCTATTCATTTTTAGCAAAGCGAAGCCATTTCATCCAATAACCGTACATTAAAATAATAAATGAAGAAGCAATAATATTTATTATAAACACATCAAAAAAGAAAACTGTGAAAATAAATATCACTTTGCTTATATTACCGTAGCAACTAATTACTCTGTATTAAACAAATGCAATCCACCTTTGTGAATCTGCAACACGATTTAGTATTATGCAAATGAACAATTTACATGTTAATGTATTTACAATTATTGTTTAAATGTAATGTTACATATAATACATGATTGTTAATAGTTACATTTAAAGCAAGTATGTTGCATTCATTACTATCTAGTACTTTCCTGCGCTAGATAGAAATTGTTGGAATTCTTAATGAGTTTAGAGATGTCGATTGTAGAACGAGTGATTAGACATAGGAGATTTTTACATCCCATTAGCACTAAAATGGCGTTCATGCATTCAATCCCCTTCCAATGACCCTCCCAAATCAGAGTAATTTAGTAAGATGGGGTAACGGTACCGAAAAAACTTGCTATATCTGTGAAAGGGCAATTGGAACTGCTAAGCATATGCTGGTGAGATGTGAGGTACTCCTGGATAGCGGTCACTACTCGCTTCGTCACGATAGGGTTCTGGAAATCATACGTCAAGCGGTTAGTCTTTGGTAGCCAGAGTGCAAAAGAGAAATAACGACAAACGAGCGATCTGTAGGTTGTATGAGAGAAGGCACTAGTATTAATGATGGATACTTATGAAAAACAATACACAATCCCTGAGGATATTTGTGTATAGAACTCCAGACCAGACATGTTTATGTATTCGCAAATATAAAAGCGCGTTGTGTTAAAAGAGCTTACGGTTCATTGGGAAACCAACAGCCACAAAAACCATGCACTCAAGGTCAATAAGTATTACGAGCTCACTAACGAACTCACTTGGAATAGATTTGTATGCGGTAGAATTGCGAGCGAGATGTATAACAGCTAAATATCTATAAAACCTACTAATAGAACTTATAGCCTGTCCAAAACTAATATCAATTCATTCTTGGAACGTACTTCAAAGGCAGACCAGCAGGCTCTTTTCAACTTTGGTTAGGTAGAGAGAGGAGCTGGGACGGTAGAGGTGAGCCTTTTATGCGCTTTAGATAGGGTCCCTTAAACCTACACCTGGCTCGCAAATCCCAGGCACTGTTGAAGCTCCTCTCTCTGCAACGATGGGCAAATATAAAAGCGCGTTGTGTTAAAAGAGCTTACGGTTCATTGGGAAACCAACAGCCACAAAAACCATGCACTCAAGGTCAATAAGTATTACGAGCTCACTAACGAACTCACTTGGAATAGATTTGTATGCGGTAGAATTGCGAGCGAGATGTATAACAGCTAAATATCTATAAAACCTACTAATAGAACTTATAGCCTGTCCAAAACTAATATCAATTCATTCTTGGAACGTACTTCAAAGGCAGACCAGCAGGCTCTTTTCAACTTTGGTTAGGTAGAGAGAGGAGCTGGGACGGTAGAGGTGAGCCTTTTATGCGCTTTAGATAGGGTCCCTTAAACCTACACCTGGCTCGCAAATCCCAGGCACTGTTGAAGCTCCTCTCTCTGCAACGATGGACCTGGCATGCACACGGTGAATACATTGAATGCTAAGATTTTGTCTCATATGACAAGAGATGAAGTTAATGTACATGGTTTATAATGGTACATAATAACAACAACATATGTGTGTGTCTGATCTTCTCTATACGGCATTGCTGAAGTAAATATAAGTTATATTCTCCCATTTATAATCATCAACACAAACATCTTAGTGCCGAGTTGTGGAATTGTAGTAAATTCAAGATTTTCTAGTTAATACGACTTAATTCAAATTATGATACAATATATCCAACGTCCGAATTTAAATACTTTAATAACCACTAGTAATTTTGCTCTAAATTTAGTTTTATTTCGAATACTTGTGTCATATTGTAAAAATGTATTAGTAAATTACATTTTTTTTAATAAGTAGATATGAGTATTGACGTAGGAGTCATTGAAAATATACAATTGTGGTCAATAGAAAATATGAAATCTAAAAATACTATAATGGTTCAATAATAATAAGATGTATTGAGGCTGGCTTGTTTCTTTTATATAGAGATAGAAATAGTGAGAAAAGTATATGTATAACCGCCTGTTGAAATAAATTAGCAAAATGTAATATGTAACTTTGCTATATTTTTTTTCTAGGAGTAAAATAAACTTAATTGCTATTAAATAAACATGCTAATCAGT